GGGGCACGAAGAGCAGAATTGTGGGAAATCAGTAGCCTATAGAGAGCATAGAGTGAGATTATGGAATACACAAATGTTTTTACTGAATGACGCGAGCTCGATTGTACTATGCGGATAGCGAGTGAAAATGCAGAAAATTTTCTTCTCTTTGATGCGAAATGCAATCGCGGCGGGTTGCATTTCTTATTATACGGAAAAGTCAAACGGGCTCTGGCAGTAGGGTACAGGAGTCAGCTCACCGTTTGACGCCCCATTCATGCCAATCAACAATAAGGCGGGGCTTATCGTGCCATACAGATATGCGAAATGAAAGAAAAGAATGCTTGCAACTGTGCGCAAACAGCGTGTTATGTGTATATTGGCCAAACTCTATCGTATGAACCTTGATTTCTACGCTAGCAGAATTGCCCTAGTTCCTGAGATCGGCGATTCTCCGTGTCCGAATGATAATGTACTCACAAATTTTGATCATAAGAGGGGCGGCGTGACTTGATTTGGACAGAACCAAAGTGTCAATCCTCCGCTAGCGCCTCGGACATGCCCGCGTTATCGTCGAGACAAACACCAGGCGTGGCTCCTTGCTATTAAGTGGCCTGCTATTGAGTCAGTGCTTGCCATGTCACGGATGGCGCTTAATCGCCAGGGCAGTCTAAGCGACATTTCAGCAAGGGCACGGGAGCGGCCCCTGTTGGTCGAGTTCCGGTCGCGGGCACCGATGTTGTGCTGCTGTTGGTGACAAAGTATTTCTGTGGTGTGAATTACAGGTGAGCGAATAAGGACGTTGTTACAGACGAATGATAAAGAAAGTCGGGCTAGGTGGGGTTGAGTGTAGTCTCTGCAGCGGAAACAGACTCCTTACGCCTTTAGCTCATCAATCACTGGTAAAGTTGTGCAACAGTGGCGTTTACTGTGGCAATCAGCTGGACAACAAATTCAGTTCCTAACTGCTCTACAATAGGGCAGCTTCCGTAAGGAGTCTGTTTCTCGCTGATAGACTCACTCACCCCCTACGAATTCTTTATCATTCGTACTGTAACACGTCTTATTCGCTACTGTATTCACCACAGAAATACTTGTCACCACAGCAGACAACTCGGTGCCCGCGACCAATCGACACCGCCGCTGCACCGTGGGCCTTGTGAATGTAGCTTAGTTTAGACTGTCCTACGTCGTAGCGCATGTGACAGCAAGCACTGACTCAATAGCAGGCACTTAATAGCGAGAGCCACGCTGGTGTCTGTCTCGATATCTGTTTGCGAGCGAGCTCGTGCGCGCCCTTACTACACAAGCTAGTGGTTGGTTTGCAGTGACCACCACTCATCTATAACAATGTATAGTTATATATATATATATATATAACTATATTGTTACATTTTAACTATATTGTTATAGTTCAGTGGTGACCACTAGTATTTTTGCCGTGTGAACGCTCAAGTAAGGTACTGAAATCCTCGTGTGAACGCAGAGTGAAGCAGTTGGTGACCAGCGATGCGCTTTTTGGTCGCCAAGTTGACAATTTCTGGTTCCCATGTAGAGCATTGCATATAGCCCCCCCCCCCTACACAAAGAGAACAAGTACTAAAATGTTCCATTCGCGATTTCGCATTTTGCGAGAGTGCGAGTGCTAATTTTAAATCGCGATAATGCGAAGGATAACGTTTTCGTAGCAAGGAAGTCACTCATGTCTCAGATCTCATCGATGAGATATCGTATGTAATGTCAAAATCACTATTAGTGTTTGAAGATAATTAGAATGAACAAAATAATTTTGCTGTAGTGTGCGGCCTGCAGGTATTCTGTAGATATATGATGGGAGAAGGCAATATAGCCAGTGCTCCTCTCAACATCCTGTTGATCGTGCTTAGTTACAGGCAGTCGGTCCGATCCTTACGGAATTCATTACATACAAAGAGAAGCACGTCGATATATACAGGAGTGTGGGCGAGCTGGTGAGTGTGTGGGTGCATGCGTGTCACGGTGTGTGCGTGCGTGGGTGTGTGACTGTGTGCATGCGCGAGTGACTGCGTAAACAGGAATGATGATATAAAGCCAAAACTTGTGTGTAACCGGAATAAACTTTAATAACTTGCATAGTGTAGCCACAACTTTCACAGAGAGACAAAGACACGCGCACACGCGCATCCGCTGTGAGTACATATTTGGAGTGATAATAATAATGATAATAATAATAACAATAATAATATTAATAATTTATACGTGTGACTATCATCCATTCATCATTATCTTGCTTTCCTATTCATCCCATTGTTAAATTAATGAAGCCAGCTTCATCTATTACTGACAAGCAGGTTTCTGCAGCCTCCATGGATGAGTGGGTGGCTTGACGTGCATTGGCGAGCGGCGAGCGCATTGGTGTGACATGCTGTCAGTATTTCTCATTTATAGATGTTGCTGAATGTGAAGTGCAACGACATTTTTTTTACTGATTAGGAAGCTAAAATTAAAACAGCGCAGGAGTCTGAAAACATCGTAGAGTTCTATCTCTTGTTGAAAACACTCAAAAAGTATATTGTATCCTTCAATAAAAACCAGATTACCGACAGAGAAATTTTGAATAAAGACGAAATGCATCCGAATGGCGAATACTGAATAGGATGATACTATAAACGAACTTGGAGCCAGAATATGTGCATATAAATATTTAAAGTGCTGTGGTTTTATTATATTTCAGATATAGCAATCCCATGTGACAGCAACTGAAATAATCAATTCGACTCAATAATTTGAGCTGGCATGATTATCTGTTTTGTGAAGATATATATTTACCACTAACGATATTGGTTTTCTATTCCTTGGGGAGTGTGAAAGTGACAGCATTAAACATTAATACAACACACTTGTATCATAAACACACCCAGGAAAACAAAGGGAAGACAGGAACTTTTGAATCAGCAAAGTTAGAAAAACCTGACATAAGCATTACACAATTCAAAACGTTTGTTGCCCAATTCTGACATTCTTTTTCTAGCTTGAAGGTGTGTAAAAGTTCGTCGTGATTAAATGCGCCATTTTCAGCTACAGCGCACGTTACTTTCTTGCAGATGACCTGTTTGGCAACTGCCAGGACAGGTTCTTACCTCAGGATTCTCACAAGTATCACCTGCAGTTCAGCAGCCTGGGAATTCTCGAGGCAGAGGTGACGAGACTCATCAAGTACAAGTTCACCTGGTTCGACAGTTACACGCAGTGTATTCTGCGCCACATCCTCATCGCGGATCGGTGCGTAGAATCCTCATCCTTACTCATGCACTCACTAATTATGCTGGGAATGGGATATGTGCAGATTCGATCTCACTGTCGATTTGTTCAGCTCACCGTTGAATGGTTTCTCGTTCGCAAATTAATATCAAATTTTACCTGGAGGGATTTCGAAAGATTTCTCATCTCGACATATGATTTTTAACAAATTGCAGTAAAGCTCGTGTAAACAATGAATTGAAATACAAGCGAAGCTAGAAGTGTTTTCGTTAAATAATGGCGAGCCCATTGAATTCGCATGAGCAAGAAATGTGACACCTCTCTGTGAAATGGAAAATACAAAATGCTACTACATTAATCCCCGTGGCTATTCTTGCTGAACAAAAGGCTCAAAATAAACGTAATCCAGAGCATTATGTCATAGAATTATGTAGAGGCAGAAGCAAATAAAATCCCACAACCTTAAAATAAATAATTCGCAGTGGACTTCATCTGTTAGTCGTTTCAGTACTACAAGTTTTGAATGTAACTACACTTCTAATTCCACCCATTTTTAGCTCACCTTGACATTGACAAAATGGGCTATTGCCATGGGGCGTTGTCCATCGTACGTCCGTCCGTCCGTCAACATTTGGCTACGGTCAACGATAACTTGAGAACCGTTTGACCCACATGTTTCAAATTGCATACAGTTGTTACTCCTATGGTAGAGGTGTGAACGTACTATTTTGGGGCACGCCCGTTGGCCTACTTTTGAGCCACGCCCACTTTTTGGCAAAAATGGAAATGGCCTTAAGTCAGTTCAGGCTCAACGGATTTTGGTTATTTTTGGTATGTGAATGAATAAGGACTGGTCCCAAAACATATCACACGGGTTTTGATATTTTTTTTAAATTATGCAAATTAGGTAGATTTTGGCAATTTCACTATGCATTTCAGTGTCTGCCTACGGTCAACGATAACTCAAGAACCGTTTGACCCACATGTTTAAAATTGCATACAGTTGTTACTCCTGTGGGAGAGATTTGAACGTCCTATTTTGGAGCATGCCAGTCAACCTACTTTCGAGTCACGCCCACTTTTTGGCAAAAATGGAAATGGCCATCTAGATTCATTCGATTTTGTTAAATTGACCTACCTACCTACCTACCTACCTACCTACCTACCTACCTACCTACCTACCTATATTCATACCTACGTGTAATATTGTGTTTTAGATTCTTTATTACAGTAATTTGACTGGAATATATTACTTTTATTTGCGCGATAATCGAAAACCAAAATGGTGATCATTTAGGCGTAGCGCCATCTCTCGCCCAGATTTCAGACTTTCAGATCAAAACTAGCCTTGAAACAAAACAGTAACATTTCTATTAGTATAAAACAGGGAATAAGGACATTTGATCACATTTCGGTCCGTCATAATTGAAACACTTACCAAATTTTAAATATCATCTCCCTCTTCTATCACACCCAAGGTGAGCTATAGTGTCATTGACGCTTTCATTATATTTTCACGTCATCTTCGTTAAGCATAGTAGAATACGTACTGATGAATGAGTGTTTGTTTAATTATATAAATTATGTCATATGGGGGTAAAAAATTCCTGAACGGTCATGGTTATGGGTGGATGGCAGCCCTTATTTGGAAGGCACTATATTGACTATTGCCAGTTCCCGAAGTTCAATGACATTGACACACAGGCCAACAAACGGTTACTCAACGATGGAGTTTGGTGGATATTATTTTCACTATAGGCTGAAAGCTTTTGAAGAAATAGATGGTAGCATATTACCTTTAATATGGTGCGCCTACACTAGGAGAATCTTCGTTTATGTTATCAGGAGTACACGAATAAATAAATACAATGTTATATATAATAATATTAATATATCTCTATATAGATATATCTGTCGTCTCTTCATCTACTCCTGATTTTATCACTTTTCCCAGTGAGTGGCAATAACTCTTGTGGATACTAAGTTTGAATTTTATTTGAGGGAAAACACCTAATCGGGGTTTTCAACATCTTGCAGGTAATGTTAAATGCTAATACAAGCGAATGAAGTGCGAGGTCCAGTGAGTTGTAACTGCAATAGGTACATTTGCGCAGTAATTTTCCACGGCTGACGGGCTAGCATGGGGTGCTATATATATCCAACAAGTGCAGCGTTGAGATGCGTGTGAATGATGCTGCGCACGATGCTCACGTAATAATTTTAGTGTTTTTCCAATTTTCGCGTTAAAGTAACGTTACGACGCATGAAGGCCACTGCGACGAAAATCGATGAGATCACAGCTGCTAATGGTCAGTACACGTGATCGCCCACGCACACACGTACGTGCAGCTCGTATGGCTGACCAGAGATCGTTAGGCGTACATAATATATACTCACACACTTATATCGATTGCTATAGCTCGCTGTTTCCTTCACCCCATGCATGACCTTCCGTCGCAGTACGTACTATACGAGATGGATCAACAGCTACTCCCACGCGTTTGACGTGACTGTGGATATGTTTTGTTCCGCTAATACGGCAGCGGAATACCTAGATAATAGCATCGAGAAAACGTGGAACCTTGATTGTTGTCGTGTATGTTAACGGAAATCCTTCTCGATTCGTGAAATCTCACGAATACACCAAGAAAGGTGAACAAAGAGCTTAGATTGCAACAGTCCGTGGCAGCCGACACGACCAATTTTTTTTCTAACGAGTCAGTATAAGTTTGTGCGACGTTGACAAATTGGAGTTATGTGTGCAAATAGTAATCATTATACGTTGTCCGGAAATGGGCAGACTGCAGCACCACCTTATAGACAGGTTCAACAGTCCAGAGGCACTGCATTGCATACATAAAGTCGTTGACAGACAACTGGCATACCTACTTCCAGGAGCTATACTAATCTTAAGTGGGACATAACGAGGAACAATCGGATTTGCGTGGGCAATGCTACTATGTGTGCTTTATGTAGCAGATGCGTGTATGTAGGTGTGTGTGCACTGTGTTGGGGGGGGGCGGGTGCTTGTAAAGCTTATAAGCAATACTATTCACAAGTCCATGAACAACTCAGTGTGCATATTCACAAACACATTTACCAGTGTCGGGGGGGGGGGGTATCGGCAACAGTGTGTGGCACATTCGGTGTTCGCTACAAATTGAAAGTTTTACGTTGAATATATTGATTCGAGTCGCTGCGGCCATTCACTGGCCTTTATATCATCGGCATGCAGATTGCAGAGACTCACATCAAGCAGCACGTATTTGTGGGCGGCGAACGTGTGCCAAGCATCGTTTGCTGCTGTATCTATATCTACTTTTCAGCGTTTAATCGATTGTACATCGCTATATATCCTTGAGCTTACTTCCCTAGTGCGAGACTGTACCCGCACAAACCGTTCGCGTTTTGAAATTTTAAGCGTCACTTCATTCGCTTTCCATTCCGTGTTCTCGTCTTGTTGGTTTCGCATAGTTGACGAAAAACGCACTCGTTTTGCCAATCAATCAATTCTACATCATACAAAATTGAACATGTGCGTGTCGTAGAATGGACAGCTTGTTATTATAAATACCCGAATTGTTCCCTAGAAACAGTGAGTCAGCCAAAACTCAGCCATTCATTTACTAAATATATCAACAATATTCCAAAGATGTGCTATATGGCTATTATGGCTATTATGGTCAAATGGTGGCTATACTCGTGTTCCACTAGGTTTTCGTTTCCACTCCAGTTCCCGTTAGATCTTTTCTCCTTTGCTTTTTAGAGGCTGACTTACAATATGGTAGAAGACGAGAAAAACATGTATTAAATAAACAACATTAAAAACGAATCTCTCTTGAAGTCTGCTCCAAAGCCAATCGAAGCCCACTCAGCTTGAGAGCCGAGTGGAGCAATACAACTTTGGCTCTGTTGCTATGCCCGCGAAGCATCCTAGTTACCCGGCGGCACGTCACTAATACGAACGTATAAGGCTTATACAAGGAAGGCCATATTTTTGCGCTGAATTAGTCCAGTCGGGCCATTTCTTGTGTAGTTCAATTATCTCTGTCCGTCTATATATCAGGGCGTCAAGTTCCTATTTCCTATTTTTCCTATTTTCTGGGCAATTCCTATTTCGTCCTATTTTCTGGACAAATTCCTTTTTTTTCCTATTTTTGAGGGCTTTCATTTTTCTGAATCCAGAATTGTATGTATCCTTCTCAGAATGCAGGAATTACACAGGTGACACAATTTCAAAAATATCTTGGGGGAGGACCCCAGACCACCACCCCTTACTTTAAATTAACGTAATATACCTCTTACTATCACAGATTTTATTTCAGTAAAGTTGTTTCTCAGTGGATGTGGTATGTGTATCCAGAGGGGGGGTCCCAGGGGTCCGGACCCCCCTTTTTTTACCCCAAAAAGATACACATAAAGATAATTTTCTGCTTAAAAATTTGGAATTCCATCTTGCATTCTAGACATCAAAATTACTGCTCAGATGCTCTCAGAACTGTACAATTTTAAAATTTTCTTGTGGAGACCCCTAACGTACCCCCTCCCCCCTAAGTGGCAACGTGCTAAAGGCCGTCGCACACCAGCCAGTTTTTCACGCGATTTGATCGGCCCGATAAAAATCAGCCGATATCGGGTAGGTGTGCGCGTTCATTTGTAGACAATTTTACTTGCGATTATTTTTATCAGGTGATCGTTCAAATTAAACATGTTTGATTTGAACGATTATTTTGAAGCGATGTGTGTAATCCGACAATATTTTTGGTGTGCGCGTGAACTCAGAAAATCCTCTACGATAAATATTGAACAGCCAATAGCTGAACGTGCCTGTGTCACATTGACATTCAAAATGGCGCCTACCATAGACAAAGGGTGGACGAACGAAATGGAGATTTAAATAATCAATTTATCTTAAGTGTGCGGGTGTTTATCGAAGCGTCGCGATGAGCCGATTTTACAAACGATGAAGAGATTTTTTAATCGGATCGATTTTTGGGTAGTGTTCGACGGCCTTTAGACACGTCGCATAAGCTGCCTTCGGCATCTTTTTATAAAAGTGCCCTTATTTCTAAACCTTCAAAAAGCCGATCCGCTTATGTATACATGTATGTCATACTATTTTGGAGTAGTCTACATGTATGGGTGCTTATGCATGTATAACTGCTGAAATCAATTTTAACATGCATTTCTCATTAAAAACCTCAAAATATTGTTCGCATGTGATGTAACTCCAAATATGTATATTAATAAAACCATTTGTGGTGGATCGGGATGGCTTAGGGGTGTTGGGAGGCCATCTAACGCAACAAATATTCCTATTTAACAATATATTTCTCACCATAATTCCTATTTTCCTCCTATTTTTAGCTCATCTGACATAGTCAGATGCAGCTTGTAGAATCGCATTAGGCGTGCGATGTCGTCGGGCGTCCGTCCGTGGGCCGCGCCGTGCGTGCGTTCGTGCGTCGTCGTGCGTCAACAGTTGGGCACAAATCTTAACGCGCTTGACGGTACGGTCACCTATTCGGGACGTCGGGGGATCATCAAACGAGTTGGGATGTCGAAGGCTGGGGGTCAAAGGTCAAAGGTGAAGAGGTGTAAAAGAAGGGAACATTCCCTCCTTAACTTAAGGTATAGGAGAAATGCAGAATTGCGGCACAATCTAACGCGTCGACCTATAGTGCTCGTGATAGTCTGTGTATGCCATCATGGTAGGAAAAGCCATCACTGTGCCGAAATTGGAGGCCACAGGTCAAAGGTCAATGGGCACCGGCAGATTTTAGAACATTCTGAGGACATGGTGTCGACGGCAGCGATTGAAAAACTTGTGTTTCAGCGCGTGACCTAGCATTTTTATGCCTTTATTGAAAGACCGATGAAATGTACTTTGCTGCAACATACCAAGCAGTAAGTGTCGGATAACCTTTTGACCCTTAAAGCAGCCGGTTAAACATGGATAAATTTGTTTACTTTAGAAAGAATCTTGACTGCGGGTTTGCTAGTAGAATCCATATACATGCGGATGTATGAGGCTACAATGTCACAGTGAAATTTCAAAAGCTAAATTTGGGTTGAAGAGGTTTATGCTCCTTAAATCATATAATTTCGATTGCATTCTGTACTGTCAGGCGCGTGTTACATTAACGTATGCCACGCAGTGGCACTGCCAGTGCATGTGGTGGTGGTACTGTGTAGTTTTTGCCTGCGTGATTATTAGTTCATGCACCTCTCCTATTTTAGCCTGTAGGCTTGCGTAGGTAAATGGATGAGTGCTACCATTCTGTCTTCTGCAAATAGTTGTTGCTACTAGTACTACGTACGATGGGAGCTTCGCATCTTTAATCTGATGACACTTAAACGTTCGCCGCCATCTCGTAGCAACTTTCATAACGATCCAAGAAAATTCCTTGTGAGAAGGTTCCTGATACCATCCCTGTGCCTTCCACTGTTTCGGCGTGTTGTATGTAACACATTTGGACTAACAGGGTTGTACGAGACCCCACACAGCACCAGCCACTCCCACCCACAGTCACCGCAGTAGACGTTAGATGAGCGCTGTCGCTCCGCGCCACTTGTTTAACATCTGAAATACCTATTTTCCTATTTTTTGAGGCGTCACTTGTCCTTGATACCCTGATATATATATAGATGCTTATTCTTATCTTCCACTCTGCCCGTCGTCAGCATGTCCACTATACATGCATCCTGACTTTTTGCGCGAATCTAGCTGTAACGTCGAATGGAATGGAGTTTTCATATGAAGTTGACATCGCTCCTCGTGTGACTATTAGGTGTGCAGACTCTCTTACAATTGAGCGACCGACGGTGGCGAATCACTGTAATGGATTTATAGAAGGGTTGAGCGGATTGAGACATGTCGTATGTCTTTCAAACTTGGTTATACACATACTTGCGGCAGAATGGTTGTCGCGTACCAAAACCACTGTCACTGCGGCTTTATTTGACCTTGCACCCTTGACCTCATCATTTCCCTTCCGCTCTATAACTCGGCCCCTAATGAACTAGCACTACCAAACTTGGTATACTTACACATCTTGGGGAGGAAAGGTATGTCACGTACCAAAACCAGGTCACTGCGACTTTTATTTGACCTTGACATTGACCTTGATCATATTTCCCTTACGCTCTATAACTCGGCCCCTAATTAGCTAGCGATACCAAACTTGGTATATTTATAGCATCTGGGAAGAAGTGGCACAGCGTACAAAACCAAGGGTCACTACGACCTTATTTGACCGTACCTTGACCCTTATTATATTTCCCTTCGCTCTATACTCGGCCCCTAATTTGACCTAGTGCTACACAGAACTTGTATACTGACAATCTTGGGGAGAAGATGGTCGCGTACAAACAGGGTCACTTGCGACCTTACTGCATCTCTTGACAATATTTCCCTTCCGCCTCTATAAGACTCGGCCCCTAATTGACCTAGCGCTACCAAATTGTATACTTACACATCTCTGGCAGATATGTGTGTCGCGTACCAAAACCACGTCACTGCGGCTTTTATTTGACCTTAACCTTACCTTGATCATATTTCCTTCTACTCTATAACTCGGCCCCTAATGAGCTAGCGCAACCAAAAATTGGTATACTACATATCTGGGGAAGGTGTGTCGCGTACCAAACAGGTCACTGCACACCTTATTTGACATGCATTGATTGAAGCTTGACTTTTATCATATTTCCTTCTGCTCTATAACTCGCCCCTAATTGACCTAGCGTGAGCAAACTTCGTATACTTGCACATCTTAGGCAGATGAGTTGTGTATAACAATTACCTTTGTCTTTGTGACTTATTTAACTTTACCTACTTTCTACATCCTTACAGAGATATTTCATTCATACTAGATCATGGGGTATACATGTAGTTGGCGACAACTGCCCTTTCTAATTTTAATAAGATGTGTTTTTCAAGCAGTGATTATAATAATAATAAAAATAATTATTATTATTATTATTATTATTATTATTAATTAACATCATCTATAATATTTATATCGTTTCTATTTGCGCCTTTCTATACTCATTTATTTTAATTTCTATAAATATCAAGTAGCATCATACGCGGAATCTACAATATGGTTTCCTCATTGAAAATCTCTGGTTAAACTTTTGCACAAACGGTTCCACTGCTCTTGTATTCGTTCGACCGCTTATTTTGCTCGCTTTGCTTACTGTACATAGTGTGTGGGTTGACGAGAGGACGCATTTATTGTGGGTTTGACAGCTGTATATATTATTGATTTTCTTGCCAATACATAAACCGAGTTGATAATTGGCCATAAGACATAGGTGACTGTATATGACCCATACAAATTTATGTGATGGCCATGCAGTAAATATTTTGTCGGGAACGGTATAACCGTGGTGTGAATGCATGAAGAGTTGAGTTGCATAATCCATTACAAAAACTTAACGACGCCGTCCGACCGTCCGTTAAGGCCGTCCTTTAAGGCTGCCGTCCGACAAAGGTGGAGGCAACCTGTGTAATGTATTCTCTTTCATGTGGGTCTTCGAAATGATATTGATGTCATGGGCATGATTTTTAAACCACGCATTTCTATTTTAAAACATGCATTTCTATACATTTCCACATTTTCTCCGTTACATCTTCGATTCGTGCATCCACCCCACATTCCTCACTGCATGCATTGCGTAATCAGCGCTGTGCTCCCGAGCACTTCTCTCATGCATGATGTACACGTTGGTTGCACCCGCAGATATGACATTCCGTACGACCAGGCTAAGTGCGATGCGCAGCTGGCCAGCGATGCGTCGCGCGGCTACAAGATACTGCAGCTATCGAAGGCTCTACGTGACATGGGGCTCGTCGAGGAGCCAGGCTCGACGCAGAACGACAGGGATTACGTCGACACGGGTGTCTACGGCACACCTTACTTCTACGTGAACGAGGTAGGTGTGCTAGCGCACGCACGGCGGGTGGTGGTGATAAATGTAGAAAAAAAATGTATGAATGAATATTATACTCCCACTAGAATATTTATGGTTGTGGTTTTGCTCCAAGAAGCCAATATTCTTGAAGCCACTAACGTGCATTTCACTAGGCATGCAATAAAGTTCTATGTAATGTAATAAATAATAATGATTGCATTCCAAAAAGCTTCCATCTCCTTCATCATGTGTGTACTTTTATACGCGCGGACTCACTGGCAATCGCGAGTAAGAATATATTTAGAGACCCTATGGGCCCGTTGCAGACGAACTTAAATTTTTCGTTATTTACTAAATAACATGGCGAACTTTATGTCGTGTTTGCATAGATTAAAATGCTGATCAGTTGTAATTGTTGGTAATTTATGCATGGTATCGTGAAGAAATTTTGCTCGTGTGTAAATATTTCCCAAACATGTTTACAAGCCTATGACCATATTAAATATATATGCACACACGCACACGCGCACGCACTCATTGCAAACTAAGATTAGATTACATGATATCTGGAGTGAATAATAGAGAATAATAGTATAATAGAATCTCTATTATTCACTTAAGCAAATAGTAGCTCACAATCAAGCAACTAGACAAACAAGGAGTGACGAACGATGGACCGTCTACACAACATATCGCCACTGCTTTCTTTTCTTTTGCAATTAGTGGGTCCTAGAGCTTTTTTAAATCAATGTTAAACGAGAGCCATGCATGGGCCACCCCGTGTTCGCCCGCTCAGCCTATGCCGAGATGCGACTTGCACCAACTCAAACGTTTTTATATAACATCGCGCGTTTTCGCAAAGAGGCGATTATTAAAATATTTTCCAAAACATTTCTCTGCAGGTCACGCTGCGTTTGACACCTGCCAATATTCATCATGGCAGTGTGTGTGTGTGTGTGTGTGTGTGTCTGTGCGTGCGTGCGTGCGTGCGTGCGTGCGTACGTGCGCGCGCGCTTGCGTTCGTCTGTGTTCCAAACGAGTGATTAATGGAAGCGAGACCGTGAGAGAGGAATACTGAGAGAAAGAGAGAGAGAGAGAGAGTGAGAGGGAGGAAATAATTGGGATGGAGGTGGCCGGAGGAAGGGACGTAGGGGAAGGAGAGAGATGAAGGGAGATAAGAAGGGGCAGTGGGGAGGAAGTGATTTGTTCCTTCACTTTCATTTCCTTTTGGATCACTTACATGTGTCATAACGACCACCATGCACTCTTCCAAACGTCTGAGAGCAATCTTCTCTTGCACACTGCTCAGGATGGTTGTTACAGCCATGCAGGCCTAGCCACGGAACAAGTCTACTAATAATACTACAGATTTAGCGTTATGGTCGCACCTTCGTAACTCTAATAATGCTGCAACTGTTATGAAGCAGCAATTCAACTGAAATCTTTTAATTTGCATTATTAGCAGAAGGAGCATGCAGGCTTCTATGTGAAACACCGGCAGCAGGCATTACTATACCGCTTTGCGACGTACCAATATCACATATTCTCTGGTTCATGACAAGTAGGCAGATATTTCCTGACAAATATACAGACAGCCAAGTGCTGATAAATATCAAATGACCAATTAAAATACAATCAGGAGATACAATACTAATAAATTAAGTTATGGCATGTTGTCCGTGTAAAACTCAACGTTATCAAAAAAGACGGTAGGATAGCTCTATATCTACTACAGTAAACACCCGCGTATAAGAACCTGCATTTTTTCAAGTTAGCCTAAAAAGGTTCTTATATAATTGGTGTTTACTGGTAAATTAGGCTATAAGGTTCTTATTTTCTTAAGAAAAAAAAGGTGTTGGTTGTTTCTGGTAGAATATTGGTGCAGTTGTTTATATAATATATATTATTATTATTATAATATTATTGTTGGTTGCATTGTTTATATAAAATATGTATATAATTATGTCTAAATGACTGCAATCTAGACAAATTTAAACCCTATTCTTGGTTATATTATTTCTTTTTATGCCCTTTATCTCTTACATAAAGGGCGAGTCTGTTTTTCGGTCTGTCTGTTTGTCTGTCTATCTTCTCCCCCCCCCCCCGTAAGAGGTCACCATCAACATCATATATATTCTTAATCAGCATGTCGCCACGACCATTTTAGGCCAAAAAAAAATCAAAAATATACACAAAATGAAGAAATGTCAAATTACAATTAAAATTATTTATTATTTTAATAAATGTCTGCGCGGTGGCGCTATATATACCCTCCTACTGCATCGAGTGCGAATTTTCGCGGTGTTGTTCGCATTTTTACCGGTATTTTTGTAGCTGTATTGTCGAATTACAGCGGCAATAAATGAATTATTAGCTTCGAAGGAGACACGAAAGCGTCGTAGACGACTACCATATAGGTATAAATGCTGAACTTGCTGCTTATTTTCGTATTTTCGAGTGTTTCTTATTCATCCCCTACAATAAATCGCCGGATCTATCTGTCTGTCTGTCTTCTCGAGACCAGTAAGAGGTGACCCGTGAGGTATATTCTCAATCAGCATGACGCGACGACCATTTTAGGCCAAAAACAATTTGCACAAAAAGGCCAAAATAAGGGGAAAAAAACAAACAACAGATTTCCCCCAAAAAAATACTAGCGCAGCAGAAAAGTTAACAGCAATCCTAGCACTCGACTCGACTATACACTGCAGCAGAAAAGTCAAGACGAATCCTAGCGCAGCCGAAAAGCAAACAGCAATCCTAGCGCTCAACTATAGTCAGGCTCATGCAAAATCAGGCAATCGCATGAAATGCCGAAACGGAAGCGATCGTTTTTCGGCAGTTCAACTGCAATTGGGCAAAGAAACTGGCCCATCAAACAGCACGCTCTGCAGAGAATGCCGAACAGCGCGAACTCCGCCAAACAAGTGATGCCGCAACCCACCAGAGGTCACGTGCAGAGGCAAGGAGGGCCAGGCAACATACTGACGACAACATTTCATGGCTCAACACAGCGTTCTCCTACGACCTCAACAAAGACTTCACCTCTAACCCAAAGGTCTCCATTGGCAGGATGGACAACATCTGCACACACTGCTCTGCCAAGACGTGGCCAGGGGAAGCTCCAGGCATGTGCTGCACAGGAGGCAAAGTAAAGCTGGAGGCCCTCCAAATGCCACCACAGATCTTCAGGCAGCTGCTCTCACAAAACAGCCCACGTGCCAAGCACTTCAGGGACAACATCTGGAAGTACAACGCGGCACTCCTTGGTTCTCTGAAGATGGCAATACCAAGAATTTTGTGTACCAAGAAGCGCTGCAGAACTGAACACAAGTGAAATTCTTGGGACAGATTTATAAAATCAGAATAAGGTCAGTACAGCCCATATTTAGTCATGGCAGACTAAATTCTAGCTCTTTTCTCCTTTATCCCGGGCATCGCCGGGTAGCCCAGCTAGTACCTAATAAACATCAACAAATCAAAACTAGATTGTTTTAAAACACCACAAACATAATGCCAGGCCAGGTTCCATAAGATACGGTACCATGCATGCGGGCTCAGTTTCATAATGTACGCAGTGAAACTGCACTGTACTGTATTTTTGTGCAGTAGTTAATTAATGAATTTTTATGTGTTAATTGAATTTTAGGAAATAAGAACGTGTTTCAAATTTTAGGCTAAAACAGGTTCTTATGTCAAGGGGGTCTAAATGGAAAACCTTAGCTTAACGGTTCTTATACGCGGGTTTTTACTGTATTCCATAAGTAAGCTTATTGGGGCTTAAGCAGTTAAGCTTAATGTAATAATAGCCAAATCAATACTTACATATATATGTTTGTGATACGAGGATCATTTGAGTTATAACAAGCTGACTATATAAGAAGTATATAATCAGGAGTAGATAATAGAAGATAATTATCTACTCCTGATATAATGATAAGCTTTTAGCGGATCTGCCATTTATTCTTTGTTTGTGATGAGAATGTAGGCAGCATCTACGAACTTTAAAATATGCATAGAAACGATGGAATAATGTCAGTAATAATGTAATGAATGGGGGGGGGGGTATCGGCAACAGTGTGTGGCACATTCGTGTTCGCTACAAATTGAAGATTTTACGTTGAATATATTGATTCGATCGCTGCGGCCATTCACTGGCTTTTATTCATCGGCATGCAGATTGCAGAGACTGCACTCAAGCAGCACGTATTTGTGGGCGGTAACGTGTGCCAAGCATCGGTTTGCTTGTATCTATATCTACTTGTCAGGTTTAATCGATTGTACATCGCTATATATCCTTGAGCTTACTTCCCTAGTGCGAGACTGTACCCGCACAAACTGTTCGGTTTTTGAAATTTTAAGCGTCACTTCATTCGCTTTTCCATTCCGTGTTCTCGGTCTTGTTGGTTTTCGCATGATTGACAGAAAACGCACTCGTTTGCCAATCATATCAATTCTACATCATACAAAATTGAACATGTGCGTGTCGCTAGAATGGACAGCTTGTTATTATAAATACCCGAATTGTTCCCTAGAAACAGTGAGTCAGCCAAAACTCAGCCATTCATTTACTTAAATATATCAACAATATTCCAAATGATGGCTATTATGGCTATTATGGCTATTATGGTCAAATGGTGGCTATATACTCGTGTTCCACTAGGTTTTCGTTTCCACTCCAGTTCCGTTAGATCTTTTCTCCTTTGCTTTTTAGAGGCTAGCTTACAATATGGTAGAAGACGAGAAAAACATGTAGTTAAATAAACATACATTAAAAACGAATCTCTCTTTGAAGTCTGCTCCAAAGCCAATCGAAGCCCACTCAGCTTTAGAGGCCGAGTGGAGGCAATACAACTTTGGCTCTGTTGCTATGCCCGCGAAGCATCCTAGTTACCCGGCGGCACGTCACTAATACGAACGTATAAGGCTTATCAAAGGAAGGCCATATTTTTGCGCTGAATTAGTCCAGTCGGGCCATTTCTTTGTAGTTCAATTATCTGTCCGTCTATATATCAGGGCGT